GATGAAAACAGCGATCTGAATGCATCCAAAGAATTCCTTTTCAACCTGAAAGCTCACTTTGACGCTACCTTCGTTTGCTGCAAGTTTTATATACACAGTGAATAAAAGTGGCGCATATACATTTGACGTCGTGAATGCTTTAATAGATAAATCTGCGCCGAGGATTGAGCTGCTCTTCGCAATAAATAAGACGAATTGAAAGGTAAAGGAGCAAAGAAGGTAAAATCAGTGATAAACTTTCGGATGATAAACGGATCGATGTATTAAATAAAATAATTCTTTTTTAATCAGATCTCTAAAAATATATTTATCAGAAACTTTTACACGTAATGATAGATTGCTTTCGCAAATCAGAGATCCATGTAAACAGTCGATATTGATGATATCAAAAAATCGCTATGAAAAACTAATTTGTGAGACATTGTGACATGCAATAAAAAAAAAATTTTTGCGTTTTATTTCCGCACGAAAGTATATCTGCTTATCAGAATCGAAATGAAATTAAAATCAATATCGACATTCGCGTTATCGCGCCTTATTCTAAATAATACTAAATCACAAATTGCTAGATCACGAGAGGATTCCAATTATTTCTTTGCTACAATCGGCAGCAACGGCGGCGTCGGCTCGCTAGGATTACCCAGCCACACGGATTTACTAAAGCGTCCTTTTATAACGGGCGCTTGCCACTTGTTACTGCACACAACGGTTGCGGTCGGCTTCTCCGACGTGACCGTGGCTATGCTTACAGTCCTGAAATAGTAACAAAGATTATTTAAGAGTACACGAGTGAGAAAAGATTACGCGCAACTGCGTAATACAAACCAAGAGTTGTCCAGTTAAACGAATTGAAATAAAACTGTATACAAAACATTTACAAAAGGTTACGAGGTAATAAAATGAGAACATTTTCATCGCGCGTATTCCTTAGGAAAGAAATAACTACTGAAGAATTTTTTTCACAGAACTTCGGCAGAACAAGGGAGGAGAAAATGAAAAGGTGCTCGTGATGAGAAACAACATTTTTATTAATAAAAAAATGTGTTACAAACCTTTTTTTGAACGTCGTTTATTTTATGTAGTAAATTTACGAAAAAATAATTTCTCAGAATCTGAGTATATATTAAGGATTACTCCGGGGCCTGCTGTAATAATACATACTACACATCTTATTCATATCCTCCACCCATATCCTCGAAAATCATTTGTGTATGTTATATGATGTATAAATTGCTTTGTGTGACCATTTGCAAAATTTTAAATTTTAATAAAAAATACGAGATAATCGAGATGAGTTTGTCTAAATAAAAAAGGGTAATTCTAATAAAACGTAAACTTACAATAAAAAGTGCAAAATGATACAAATAGCGGTGTAATATTTATCACATTGTAAATATTTTAGATGTAACTGTTTTAGATAACAAACCCAACGTTAAAGGCGCGATTATAGTAATATGTAAATAATAAACACAAAATAAAACAAAAGGATGGATGGAGAACACAGGTGAATCACAATTTTCAATGATAACGATCGTACATACAATTCGTATTTTCTATCTGGTAGAAACTAATGATCAAAAAAATAATTCGCGATTGTCTAATTCTAGAAATTGATTAGGTCCTCTAATGCCAAGGTACTTGATTTGGATGACTGATGGTACCCAGTTTGTAGTACCTGGTGGTAGACGGCATCTGTTGAGCTGGCGTGGACGAGCTCGGCGGAGTCGCCACGACAGGGGTTTCTGCACCCTGAGCCGGAACCCCGTCCCCCTTGAGGACAGAGATGCATTTCCAGTGGTTAATGAAATTGTCCTTCCACAATCGAACACAGCCATCGTCGCCGGAACTCGCTAAGATCGTGCCCATGCAGTTCCAGCTGACACGCCAGACGGTGCAGTAATGATCGTCGAACTGCGCAACTACGTTCGTTTCGAAATGCGACACACCGGTCTGGGTGCTCTCACTGAAAGAAAAATAGTATACGTTTATCCTTGCCTAACGCTTTTCCGTGCAGGGAAAGGCATGCTTTGTTTTGAACAGTTGTACTCACTCCGTCGGTTTTAAAGTGACTATCCGTACGTCCTTCGTAGCTATGGCCAATGTGTGGAAATTTCTGCCTAGATTCGGAGCAAACGCAATGTCGTAAACGGCATCCGTGATGCTCGACAGCGTCTCGGCCTTCATCCAACGTCTGCTATTCTCAGAATATTCGTAAATAAAGATTTTTGCCCCAAGCGTAGGATTTGGATCGTCGCTACCGACTGCTATCATAGGCGGATGTAATCTAAAATATATTTTTATTAAATGTTAGTACACAAGCTCATTAAAATAATTTTATTTCGTCTTATTTATTTTTTTTACGTTAGGCATCTATGTAATAAATTATTACATTTTTTTATATTGGTTACAATTAAAAAAGATAAAATAAGAGATAAGAGTTACATTTACCTCGAGAGAGATGGATTCCACGAGAGACAACTACACGAAAGTTTACAGTTGATGTCGTGCTGTAACGTCCACTGACTTAGATTCATGATATCTGGTGCTTCGTATATCCGAATGAATCCATCTGCGCTACAAGTGGCCAGTAGAAGACCCAAAGTCTTTGGTGCAAACTTTACATCTGTGACAGAGGTACGTGAGTCAACTAAGTTGGTTCTTTTAATCCAATGCTTGCTGCCACGTGCTTCTGGCCCAGAACCTTCACCAACTGTTATAAAAAAGAAAAGGACAGTAGTACATATATTATCGTTAAGAAGAATGACACCTGTTTGACCACGTTGCAATTGACCATCAGTCACTCACAGCGCTCGAACAGTGGAAAATCTCTCGGGATCAACCACTGTGAGTGGCTACGGTCAATCGCAACATGGTTGAATGGAACACTTCTGTCAAAAAAACATCTCTTATTGAGCCTTGTGTCTACAATACTAGAAATTGATCCGAGCTCTCGAGCCAAGAACTGTATAGTAAATAAAATTGCTTCTGTTCCATAAATGCTACAAATTGATTGGTTATACAGTTCTCGGCCAAAGAACTCGGATCAATTTCTAGTATCGTAGACGCAAGGCTTAGAAACATAGAAAAATATAAAATATCCATTGTACCAATTTCCTCCCAAACAGCAGCGGTGCGATCGAATGAACATGTAGCGAGAACCTGACCAAATTCTGGGTGTGCCCACGTGACCTTCCATACCGATCCACTGTGGGCCTTCCAAGAAGCAGTTAGATGCCAGTTTCCATGCTCGTCTTCATCCCAAACCTACAATATTTCATTACCTATATTTATCTATATTTCATAAATATGCAATATTAACTCTCTCTTGTAGAAAATTAATTCTGAATTACATATCTAATATCTGTATATTTAGCGAATTCCGTGTGTGAATAAGCAAACTGGTATACGAAACTTGAATCGCATATGTTGTAGTTCCTTCGTTTTACTGTACCTTCACAAATTGATCACTGGAACACGTCGCCATTCGTTCCCCATAGTAATCGTAGGCGATATCGTGTATGAGATCCTTGTGCTCCGCATTGATGCTGTGCGCCTCGTACATCGCGAACGAAATAACAAATATACTCGCACGCGGGAGAGATTGTTTACTAAACGCGCCACGCGCTGAAGGTTATGACACCATGTGACAGTGTCGGCGCCTGTCGACGGAAATACGGAATTATGGGTGCACGCAGGTGCACAAGCACGCGAAAGTCACGTGAATAGTAGGAACGCTCTCTGCATCACATTTCAAACGTCTCTCAAATATTAACATTCGCAATGTACATACATACAATTTAATGAACATTAAGGTGAGATTTAATTGCCAATCACGCAATATAGAGCGCTAATAAGTCAAAGAATATATAGCATAAATTAAAGATTCTAAGAATATATTAAAAATTTTGTATATAAAAATATTTTTTCATTATATATAAGATATGTTCTTTTTCCTGCTTATTCTGCAGAAATTAATATAAAACGAATATAGAATTAATAAAAAAATATTTATTTCAAAAATTATTTACATTAAAATTTTATTTCACATATCAGAACAGGTATTATCACTTATTATTTTTCGTATAGTTACTTACGAAGATTATTTTTCCTATCGCTTTTATATTTTTAACTATTTATATTGTTTTAACTTTTATATTGTTAACTATTATATTTTTAATTATTATAATTTAAATTTGCAACACAAAATGTGGAGATACAGTTTATATTTTATACAAATATAATAAATAAAATAATATAGCCGTTTCTTTCATGCTATTCAGTACATTTATTTTCTTCTCTTTTTTATCCTGCAGGCTCTAAAAATTTAAATTCACACTATTTATATATCAATTAAAGTTTTAGATTTTTAAAATAAAATCGATTCTATATAATTATGATAAGTAAAACATATTCATTAGTTCGATTACAACTAAAAAGATTTTTTAATCCTTCACTGCAAAGAACCAATTAAAAACTCTTCGAACATTAAGTGGATTGATGTGAGTTTCCGGTCACAGACAACTGCATATTTCATATATTATCACATGTACTGATATTGTTATTAATTGTAGAGAAGAGTAATTGTCATTTATTTCTTCGAGATTGAAATTTAAAATAGAAATATTAGAAATACATTCTTTTTTAAACTTATAAGTATAGCTGTCTTATGAAACAGATGGCAATATTTAAGCGTGTATCCTATGACTTCTTTAAGACCTTCCAAACACGTCGCTAATTCAATATATAGATACAGATATATATTATTAATTAGATTTATTAGTTAAATTAGTATTAGTTAGATTTGACATATTAATGAGATATCAGCAAAGAAGGAATTTATTAAACTAAAACAAAAAAGTTACAGGATCCTTAATTGATTTTTATAAGCTAATAAATATACTATCTTTCTTTTCTTCATTTCAATATAATAACAATATTAAATATAGGCGATAACTATTGTTACATTAATTAATTACGTTACGTAAAAGATCCCTCCAAGGTAGCTGGCATTGCAAAACCATGCAAAAGTCATGTGTAGGCGGTTTCGTATAACACTTTGACCCGTTCGTATGGTGTCCGTTATCCGAGACCAATTCTCTCTCGTGCAATTGCAGCTGCAAACGTATTCCTCGGCCACCCCGGCTGATCGCCACGAGTGCGATCAGGTGTATCGCGATAATGACCGGATATTTTCGCGAATCTCGCCTCAGTAATAGCGCCGAGCGAACCATCATTATCGCATAGCTAGAGTGAATATCAGGTGATCCTCGCACAGGTAACGACCGATTATTTTGTATTTATCCATATAATGCGAATATAGAAAAATAAATATACATTCTAAATTGAATTCATTAGTTTTCTCTCAACATTCTTGATTCTTGTACTTCAGAAGTATATTTTATAATATTCATTACATCTTCTATCTTCCTATTTCTTTTCTATTGAAATAATTTTATTGACTTTTCGGAAGAAGTTGAAATCTAATTACGAAGCAATGTCAAGCGAGCGATACATGCATTTAAAAAATTCATGGCGAATTTATAACATGAAGTGCGATATATATGACTTTTCATTAATTTTATATTTCTCAAGCTTGCAAAAATTAATGCTTGAAAATTAAAGAAACATCAGTCAATCGAACGGAAATAAAATAATGTAGAATGGTTAACGCAAAATAATTAAAAAATTCCTCGAGTATTAATACATCGAAAAGAACGGCTGACGCGTCGAGTCCTGGCATCTCGCTGTCACCTACACCCTTTATCGCATTTCCGGGCTATATTATGTCTAGGGTACTTGCATACGGTGTAAATAAATACTCCATATCGTCGAGTGTCATCAGGCACTTCGGGCGGCCGTCTTGTGTGTGAGATACGGCGATACTTTGCCGCCTTCGAGTCAGTGTCGAGACTGAGTCGTGAAATGTCGGATCTTCAAGCTTCTTTGTGTTAAAAAAAAAGGAGGGTGTAAATACAAAAATCGAGTGAAAATTTTCCGTGCGACTGAGCAATCAGAACATGGTTTTCGCGTGATTACGGAATCACGCGAAAACCACGAACAAAATGTTAGAGAATCATGCGAAATCAACGAAAGTGATGTAATGTGTCAAAAAGTACCGGAGAAAGAATAATTTCTTCTTTATTTTACATACGCTTACATAGCGTACACATACAAGATAACTGTGACATTGAAGCAAATGTGATATTAAAATATTTTATAAAAGAAATAATAAATATAAAATAAAACATCAAATATATGTCAAATAAAAAAATATTTAGAATTATTAAATCAAAAATTAAAAATATTAATTCCTCTTAAATAACATATATTTTGAAGTTAAAAGTAATGGCTATTAAATATATATGTATATATATTTAATAACAATCCTATATATGTTGCATCACATTTGCTTAAATATTATAAGCATATATTATAATCACGTTAATTAAACTGGCGATTTGTGAAACAAATATTTCCTGTGAAGAGACCTTCGCGATTAAATTAAATATTTACGTTTTGAATGAAATATAATTCAATAGTATTCGTCGTCTTGCGGTGACACGGGATTCCTTTTGCGAAATGTGCGCGCTGTGCTGTCGGTAAACAGAGTGTAAAAACTTTGTTAAAATGCCATTAAAAGTATTATGCTCCGTTTATCAACAGTACGGTGCGACGGGATCATCTGCTGATCATCGAGCCGGGAGGAGTCTTCGAGTTTGATTTTTGCGGCTCCCATATCCCAGCATAACTCAGCCGTGACGTTACGAGAGGCATTATGCTAGGAATATGCGGTGTCGTGAATTTGCATGCTAATTCTCAGGGTGAAAGTTTAGGAGAGTTTCGCCTACAAATTGTACGGCGACAAATAAAAAATTACAAAATATTTAGATATTAATATGTGTAATTAAATATTAATACGTTCGAAGCGACCATCGGAAATGCATCATCGTTTTCTGCACCATTTACGAGACCGGAAAAAAATACTCAGGGATTGTATTGTATGTATTTGCAAACTTCTCTTTCTCTCTCTTTCTTGTGACGAGCAAAAGTGGCGTTCTATAATCACTGTGATTACGAGGAGCATCTCGTCATTCGCCAAATGCCAATAAACGGAGATACGTTCGTTCGCATTGAAGAATCGTCTCAATGACGTATATTCGCAATGTTAAAGAAATCTTCTTCCGATTCACCGAGGTTATCCATCTCTGCGACCTCTTTGCATATATTTTTGCGCTGTCAACGTATATCGATAGTAGCGCGACGGTAATTTGCGCAAGGAATTTACCGAGAGCGAATCCGCAATTAATTTTGCTCTCGCGGTGACGGTTTCCTTCATGTCACGAACGAGTCGCGTTTCTCGTGTGATCACGCGATAGGAAGGTAAGAGTTGAAATTGCTTTAAGTTTTTGCTAAGTTCAATTTTCGATGCCTTTTTTCGGTCATGCTAAAAAAATCTGGATAAATACAAGAAAAATCAAGCGTACATTTAGTAATTATGCAAGGAAGATATCAATTATTAAATAATAATAAAGAATAAAAATATAAAATATGGAACAATTGATCAACTAACTTTCCAAAATATAAATATTACAAAATTATCTTACAAAAATTACTTCTTCAGTGTTTATTTATTAATATTAAACTAATTATTATTAAATTGATAAAATAATGGAATTTACTATTTTCTGTTTGTTGGAAATTTGCGAAGCTTAAGCTAACTTATAGTAAGCTTTGATATATGTAGATACCAATGCGTAAACACAGCCACTTGCGTAAGTAGTTATAATCTTCGTTATCACAAATAAATACAGATATTGTGCAACGTATCGCAATCTATATCTAACATCCGTAATCTCAGTGGAAAAGCAATAACTGTTGAGAGAAGATGCGCGTAGCCGTCGTAGGCGCTGGTGTAATAGGAGTAACGAGCGCGTTTGCGGTGAAAAGCGCTTTTCCGAGTTACGATGTGAAGATCTTCGCCGACGCATTCTCACCTGATACCACCGGCGATGGAAGTGCCGGTCTATGGGGTCCTTATCTCCTCACCGACACACCTGCGGAGGACATAATGTAAGTACACTCGATTACATCTATACGGAAAATAAAAGTGAAATCGCACCTTATGAAGTCCGAAAGATCCTCCGAAGGAAAATACAGATATTGATTTCTCTTCATGTTGACTGTGCTTCTACACTTTCACGTATCGCAAATACAAACGGATAGGCAAATAGCCTCCGAACCATTCAGTATTTTTAATAAATACAATAATTAATTACAATATGTAATTAGTTGCAAATGTTACAATAATTAATTGTATTGTATTATGTTATAGCCGATGGGCTGGCAGCACACATCGGTGGTTCGAGCAATTATGGAAAGCCGGATTATCGTCGGAAACGGGTGTTTCCCTGGTGCCTGTAACTCGTGTCACTAGCGAATGCGAGGAGGACACTGAGGTCACTGAGCCAGCATGGGGAAAACTGGTCTATGGCCTCCAAAAAATAAGTAACGAAAGATTACAACGCTTGAAGGAAGAGCACAAATCTAATTACAAGTACGTTTTTTTTTCGCATATATATTTAAAATTAAATTATTAAATAGTTAAAAATTAAATGATAATCGTTATCATTAGACACTGAACGAATCGTCCGATTTTAATCTTATTTTAATTACCTCTTTATTACAGTCTCATTTATTTCATCATTTACCGAGAGATTCAAAGTTAACGATTTCAGACAAGGTTGGCAGTTTATAACTTATACCGCCGAACCGGTTCTGCTGTTGCCGTGGCTCATGGAAAAGTTTGTTGCTTTGGGCGGAAAAATGGAAAGGAGGAATATTAAAATGTTGCACCAGTTAGCTGAAGAAGGGTATGATTTAATAATAAACTGCAGCGGGCTCGGTGCACGGGAACTCGTCGCGGATAAAACGATGACATCTATCAGAGGTCAGGTGTACAGGGTAATTGACTCTCCAATTTACATTGCATATCTGCCTCTTTTCAAGCAGATACAAGTTATCGTTTAAGTTACAATAGTAGTAGTGATTCGTTTATATATTCAACGTGCGCGAACGTAAAAATATTTTGAAATTGTCGTTTAAATGTCAATCTTTCCCATTGAAAATGGAAGTCTATTCTTCTTTTATCAATGCGTTTATCGATCCGATATATCTTTTTAGAAGTATTTTCTTACTGGATTTGAAGTAGAGAGAAAGGACTGACTCAGAGATGTTTATTTAAGGTAAAAGCACCTTGGGCAATGCACTGTATTTTGGTGGACGATGACGCCTGCAATTACATCATCCCTAAGTATACAACATTAATAATGCATATTTATAATTGGCAGTGATATGTTCGTTCTGTAATATTTGTCCACAGCGTCAACAGCATCGTAATAGGCGGCACGCATCAAGAAGGCGACTTTGATCGCTTCGTGCGAGAGGAAGATTCGAAACACATTTACGACGGATGCTGCCGTTTGATGCCGTCTCTGAAGGTGTCTAAGATTTATTATATACTTAAGCATATCTTTATATACTCGGCGTAAATTTAATAAAAAGGTCGGTAATTTCCCAAAATAATTCGCGCCTGCAATTCCTGTTCGCAGGGGAGTGAAATAATACGCGCGTGGGTGGGCCTTCGACCGGGAAGACCGCGAGTCCGTCTGGAGCGCGAGAGCCTCAGCTCGCCCATGGGAAAAGAGTTCAAGGTAAATTGTCATAAGTTATTACACAGTTAACTATATACGTAGTATACGGCGAGAGCAGTATGGCGCGAGCTGAACTTTAACACACCATCATTCGAGCGCCGCTAAACTTTACGGTCGCTTCCTGTATAACGCTTGTTTCGTGTTTTATATTATATTTCAGGTGATACACAATTACGGCCACGGCGGAAGTGGCGTGACGCTGTGCTGGGGGTGCGCAATGGACGTCGTGGAGATGATAAGAAACTTGAAAGTGCCCGAATTAAACTCCAAACTGTAACTTCAGGGGCAGAATAAACTTTTTATCCTTCGTACACATTTTTACCCGCAACGGGGTCGCGGGGCGTTTAACCTTGCTCGACCTTTTTCCCTTTACACGAAGGATTGTCGTCGTTAAAATTATTATTCTCATTTTTTCACTTGGTTCCTATACGAGATTTCAGACTAAAATTAAATCTAAATTGTTTCCCTGTCGCAAGGGACGAGCGTTACCGTCAAGGACTTCGGTTCTTTCTTTCGATTCGCACCGCTCGTACCGATTTGACACTTGATCAATATCTTCGTAATTCTTACTTTTAGACCTGCCTGTTTCGCATAACAACGGCATAAAGTCGAGAAACATAATTAAACGTCAAGAAAGCGAACGTAAGCGCGCGAGGGTTCAAACTGCGCGCGGGGCGCACCAACCTATTTAAAAGTTTTGTGTGTCGTGATCACTTCTGTAACTGTACAATTTCTAAATATGGTCGTTGAGCTGTAATTAAAGCACCAAACTAACTACTGAGATACCTTACATGTCGACCATGCCGCAGTAGTCGCGTAAAGCTAGACGTCGGTGACGCGTGTCTCTCTCTCCAGTCGCAGTACGATCTATATCGGCCGCACGGCTTTCCATTCGCGACAGCGTTTAACGTTTTATCGTCGCTAAAATTAAACAGGAAAATCGACAGGTATTTCATTAATGTAGTTCAATAAAATAGTTTCTATATAAATTTGATAAATTTCAATCTATTTTTACTTAAAAGATTTTTTTCATTTTTAGAAATATATTTTCTATATTTTATGCAGAGAATCATACCGCTATATTTTTAATATTTAGCAACAATTTTATATTATAATAATAATCTCTGACGATTGTGTGATATAAATGTCTTAATAAAATTCAATATTTAAATACAAATTCACTGCTGAGACTTCTACGAAAAAGAACGAAACTTAGATTAATTATAAGAAATTAAATAAATCTAAAAACGGCAGACGGTGACTAGTTTTTAAAAACTTTTATAAAAAAGAATTTGTCAATCTGGTTTGTGTGATCAATCGACAGAAGATCGGCAATGGACGTATCGACTAATACGATTTATCGCGTCTACGCGGCAAATGCGAGAGGGATTAAGTTCGGATTGAGTTTGACGCGGAATTGATTGACAGCGCGTTTGAAAATAATCGAATAATGGAAAGCAGCAGCGGTCATGATCACAGTCGAACGCCGCGATAAGCATCCGCTGGTGATATTGCGCGATACTAAAAACGATAATTCCAGAAACGAGAGCGTGACAAACGGCGAAAGCGTCAGCGTCGAGAAACGATCCTGCAAGTCCCCATTGCAAAAACGGGAATACGACGACTGTAACGATCCCTCGGACTTATCGCTTGCAAACGACAGAATAGGTACCAATCATGAATCGAATCATGCCAAGCATGATTTCGAACGATATCATTGGAAGATTACCACAGACAATGGCAATAACACAGGTATTTGTACAGTCATAATAAATCCAATAAATTGAGAAGGCAACAAAAATTCAATATCACAAATTTTAATAACAAATCCACGCGAGAGAAAGATATAACGACGGATATATAAGCACGACGGAAAGACTGCAAAAATTTTCGCTATTTCAGCGACCTGATTACTGCGAGACTCATTTCTTTAACTTAATATTAACTCTATAAAAATATTATTCTCCGAGTACGCTTTAAATCTTCCAAGTTTTTTTTACGACCGAGTAATATTTTACGATCCGTTGAATAAAACTCCTCCCGAACAGACGCGTTACGCGAGGGAAGCGATTCAGAGCGGCGCAAGGAGGATGCGGAAGAAACGTCGAAGACCAAGAAGAAGAGAAAGCGGAGGTACTGCGCCAAGAACTACATATCCCAGTTTGGAAGCTGAAATTGACTTTTCGATTTAACGAAAACAGATTTTTAACAATCTGCACGGCGAACTGCAAGTACGACGTGGTTAGGCGCGTGGCCGCGCGTTTCGGGATGCGGGAAGTTACGGAGGACAGCAGCTGGGATCTCTATTGGACCGACCTGAGCGTCAGCGTGGAGCGTGTCAAGGATATGAGAAGGTTCCAGAGGATCAACCACTTCCCCGGGATGACGGAGATATGTAGGAAGGATCTACTCGCTCGTAATCTCAACCGCATGCAGAAGCTGTTCCCGAGGGACTACAATTTTTTCCCGAAAACTTGGTGCTTCCCCGCGGAGTAAGATAACATATTTTATAATAATTATAATTAATAATAATTTTATAATAATTAGAACCGTTTATTAAATAATAAAACTTTATTGTTAAAACTATTTCGTTAATAATATTCACTTGACTCAATCGACAAAAATTAATGTTCTGTTTTACATTTAAAGAGATTAAAAATCAAGATTAAATAACCGTAAAATAGAAACCGTATAATTTCATCTCAGTATTATTTACCACGTTAAACGTACAAAACATTATTTATCATAAAATATTCATTTCTCGCGAATAAAATATTGTTCGTTCAATAATTGTACGGTCTGTTTTATATCTTTCGCTTTGAGTCTAAATTGAAACTTGATATCTAGATACGATCGCATTATTTTAATAATAATAATCATAGGCAAAACAAGATAAAAAAAATTATGTGGCTATTCTACGAAACAGTTTCGTATGTCAAAATAAAGAATGCGATCTATGGATTGAAAGGCCTCTTATCTATTTTACAAGCGCGAGGTGTTCCCATACGCGTGAGTTATTCTGTTTTGCTTCGCCGAACGATCGCTCTCGGGTTTCCAGTCGTAAATTCCAAAGGTTCACCATTACGGCGATAAAGAATAATCAATACTTCCCGAAGTCGATGAGCGAATGCGTAAGTAGATTGAAAACTCTGGATTTCGATTTTCAGCCACGGCGACGCGACGGCTTACACCAAGACGCGGAGGTCGAGAATCTTCATCATCAAACCGGATACGGGCTGCCAAGGACGCGGTATTTATCTAACAAAGCATTTAAAGGACATCAAACCGAGCGAACGTTTGATCTGTCAAGTGTACATCGCAAGGGTACGGAATATCAATTTTTTTCCGCAAAAAAATGTCGCTGCAAGTTTGCAGAGACCAGCTTTCTAGATAAGAAAAATTTTCCTTTATACACGTTTCACTCTCTTATATATATATATATATATATATATATACACACACACACACATATATATGTATATATATTTTCCATTATATTCTAAGATTCTTTGAAATTCGTTCAGATTTTTTTCCTGTGAATATCCGTGCAATCGTAATCGAAAACTTCACAGTTGCAATGCAAGTATATCCTTTTTCTTATATCCTTAGCCCTTCTTAATAGACGGATACAAATTTGATCTACGTATTTACACGTTAATCACATCGTGCGATCCTCTTAGGATCTATGTGTACAACGAAGGACTCGCGAGGTAAGGCACGAACTTAAAAACCATACTTAAAAAAGTAAATTATGAGAAACAAATACGAGATGCAGTTCTATTAAATATATATTTTTTTTAATTATGAAAATATTAAATCTATTTTTACACTTTCAAATTTATATGTATGTACATATATTCCGACTTACTAGAAAGTGCAAAACTTTGCATTTTTAGATTTGCGACCAGCAAGTACAAGGAACCGACCGGATACAATATTTCTAATATGTTCATGCATTTAACAAATTATTCCGTTAACAAGCACAGCCGACTCTATATCATCGACGATGAGATTGGTAGCAAAAGGTTCGCATATATGTCTATATAGAATTGGCGATGGAGTACGCCAATCGTATAGCAAATTATGCTTTACAGAAAAATATCAACGTTGAACAAATGGTTAAATTTGAAAGCTGTCAATGTAATCGAATTGTGGGGCAAGATCGACGAAATTATAATTAAAACTATAATCGCCGCGTATCCCGTGTTGAAACACAGTTATCACGCGTGCTTCTCGACGCACAACAAAACTTGCGCGTGCTTCGAGCTGTTGGGATTTGACATTTTACTCGACTGGAAGCTCAAGCCTTACCTTCTCGAGGTAAACTTTCCAGAGAGATTGGGATACCTAAAAGGAATGTTATTAAATATTCTCTACATTTAGTAAATCTATCAGGTAAATCACTCGCCAAGCTTTCATACAGATGCACAGATAGATAAGGACGTAAAGGAAGGATTGCTGATGGACACTTTCGATATATTAAATTTACTACAATTCGACAAGAAGAAAATAATAGAGGAAGATAGGAAGCGAATCAGAGAGAGACTTCTTCAAGGCTTGAACGGGAAGGATCTTAGGCAAGTGGAATATATCAAAGAACGTATAAATTATATAGATAACTGAGATTTCATACACGGAGAGAATTTTATTTTAAAATTTACCCTGAAAATCATGTTAATCCTAGGATACTGTAGTATTTCGACGAATTTTATGTGATTTTCATTATTTTTTTAAATATATAGGGTAACTGTCCCTATTAGTGTGCCCTGAACCTATTAGTGTGGTTTTATATTTAAATAAGTCATAAAAATAAACTGGTACAAATATATAGACAAAGTAT